TGGCCGGTGAGTGTATATACCAACTTATCTACTTGTCAGAGTTTGCACTACCTTTTTATTGTCAAACATAATATTTACCCATCAATTTTTGCATGATAATTGCGTTTCATTTTCGTTCTGTTTAATATTCAAAAAGTTGAACAGATAATCCACACGAACCCCACTACCTGGTATCGGTATCGGTGAGTACCTAAACTGAAGTACTCGTACTTGTACTCAGTCTTGAAAAAACTGGTAACGGGACACCCCTATATGTAAATTTCATAAACTTTCATAAGTGGCGGGGTGGGTGGGGTATCTTTATATTAGTTTAAAAGTGTCTCCAAATAATATTATCTTTTATCGCAATAATAACTGAGACATTTCATTGTCCAGCAAAATTTGTTATTGTGACAGGCCTAATCACACTAATATTTTCTGAATATTAATGAGCGTACCTCTGTAGCTAATAAAATAATGTGCTGCTATTAGTAAACTACTTCCATCCCACTCAGTGTTAGTCTGTAACTTTAAGAGCTGTATGTGTGAAGTGATGTGATCTTAGTTCCTGATAGTGGTCAGCATGGTTTTAGCTGTTGAATCTATTTCAGTTTTTGTGACGACGGGCATCACAGCAGTTCTTTTCAAGGTTTACCGACTGGCTTTTTCTCCCGTGGAGGGTCTAATGAGTGTTCAGACGTTTCTGTGAGAGCTCCAGGCAGTTATGGATGCATGGGGGCTGTTATTTCTGCAGCCACTGATCCAACTCCCACAGCAACAAGCAGCATGAGTCCCTGCTCCTCCTCGGTAAGGACATCTTTTACAAACCTGCTCGGAGATACGGCGCACAGGGCCTTTATGTGTGACATCCAACTGGTTGTAAACCAGAACAGCTGCCTTTGTTTGACTGGTTCGGCTTGACGTTATTTCACTTCCTAATCCTTTGCAGCAGACTGAAACAGAACTGCATGTGCTTTTCTGCTGTTGTCTTGTTCTACTCTGCCAATTTGTGTAAAACACTGAAGCAGAGAGGGCCGTCTGCCACACGGTGAGGACTCCCGGGGTACGTGAGTGGGATATGCTCACGACCTGCTGGTCTCTGGCTCACAGGACGAGGACTAAAATCTGAAGTTTTAATCTGTCTGCTGGTCAGTCTGTACCAGGGAAGAGACTGTTTATGGAGTTAGGTTTTATGTAACCCTCCAGTTGACCGGCTGGCCAATTCTGTGCACAGTTTGTGTCGAGACACAGTCTTGTGTTGTTTGAGTATAAAAAGAAGAGTCTCTTTCTTATAATGTCCATCTCTTGTAGGGATTCAACCTCCAGATTTAGTTCTTTTATAAATTTTAGGTGCTGACTCTGTAAATACCAGCGACGTGGTTCGACTTCCACACATTACCATCTGCAAGTACAGTATCTGACAGTGGCCTCTAACATGTTATGTCACAACAGCCTGTCTCTCAGCTCCTGCGAGACCTGGTAGCAGGAAGCAGAACGACTGTCATCTCTCTTCACTTACAACACCAAGCGAGTGTGCGCACAAAGTGCACGACGCCTCAGTCTCTATCAAGCAGAGAGCAGAACAGGAAGCAGCGAGGTGGGACGCCGTCTCTGCTGCTGCTCGCTCTTCCTCTCCTCAACCTCATTCACTCAATCCAGGTTTGGATTATAGGCCTTTGGATTCTTGGCTGGAAAGGACAGCTCAGATTTTCAAATCCAGGTGTTCCAGCTCTGGGGCTTACCTGATTGGTTTGTGTGTGTCTGTGACAGCGTGAGAGGCCCAGAGGAGGCCAGTGATGGCCAGTGAGGGCCTATCAGACGACCTCCTAGGGGATCAACTCGTTGACCCACCAGCACCCACCGACCAGAGCGACGCTGAGTCTCTGGTAATAGCCGAAGCGGGCCTCGTCGCTGCCAACCCGCTCTGCGTTCTGTAGCCGTCTTTTCTGTCAGCTTCCTCGTTCATTTCCTGCTACAAAAACATCTGCTCTGTGACTGCAAATCAGTAGAAAGTTTTCGGTCTGCCTGTGTTCTTACACCTYTTATTCTTCACTCCAGAGGTTCTTTGTTGGAAAGCACCAGGGATTAAATTTGTATTGTGTTGAACAGAAGTGCGTCAAAGCAAAAGAAAACTCTCCCTTCCTGTAGTTGGTGGCATGCTGCTGTCTGTTTTTTTTTCTGTTCTGCCATGAATAGCTGCTTGCTCACACTGAGCCTTGTGCCAAAACGTAATTGTTTATCACCCGCTGCTAAAAAAGAAGGTGGACAGTATTGTTTTGTGTTTGTCTATTAACAAAATAACTCATAAATCACCGGGTGAATTTTTAAGTAACCTGCAGGAAGCCGCCATTGGCTTTCCATCTACAAATGATTATTGTTTGGAATCAACCTGATTCAAAATGGCTGCCACAGCCATCTCACTTTAGAATGCACTCGGACACCTTTAATTTAGTCTTTTGTATAGATATTGTGCTGAAATGTGTCATGGTAGCTGAGTGATTCAAAACACATACTGCAAATGATGAGCTCTGTAGATCTGATGAAGTCAGCCTTGTTTGTCTGTTAGCAAAATATCTCCTGAACCATTAGACAGATTTCAATGAAACCTTATAAAGCAATCATTAGATGCACAGTATACTGACATGGAGTCAGCCAAACTAAAGATGGCCCTGACAGCTGATCAATATTAACCAACACAAAAATCACTAAAACTCGTCAATTTTTCAGAAATTGAAAATATCTTTGTCAGTATGTTAGACATGAGCTATGTTCCATCCATCCAAAAAAAAAAAAAAAGACGAGCTATGTTTACATATGCAAAATTCTTTGATTGGATTGAAATGTATTCAAATTAAATAATTTGAAAGTATCATTTATATGAGCACAACATGCACAAGGCTTTTATTCAGAATAGAAGTACTGACATGCACAGAGTTGTAAACTTTCCCTAAAAAAAGGGAAGAAGAAATAATAATAATAATATATTTTATTTTATAGGGCCCTTTTCATCTTGTGGTCTTAAAGGGTTACAATCAGCTATAAATACTGGGCAAGCAATTACAATGGATGAAAAAATAAACAAGATTTAAGGGAGGATATGATGTTCATAAACAAACGTTCTGCATCTTCTGAGCACCCAGAATGAACCTGCGCCAGTTTCTACACTTTCGATCATCAAGGTGTTCGATAATTTTGAGCTCTTGCTACGTTTCTGAAAATGTTGTATTGCTAACAGACCAATTTTGCATCCCCAACATATTAGCCAGGAAGAAAAACATCATGTTGACGTAAGGCGCAGTCAGGTCAGCTTTCCACAATCAGAATAAGTGTTTACATGCATGCCGTTTGGATTATCAATTAGCATAAACCACTCCTCTCATTCGAATTACAAATTCATTCAGCTTGAGCTGAATTAGATCAAAATTTTCCAGTTAGAGCGTTCACGTGCACATTATTCTGATTGGCTGTTTGTTCTGATTACTTGTGTCCATGTAAACATTCAGTGCATTAAAGCAGCAGCTAAAAGCTCGCCTCTGCCTGGCTGCTGGGCCCGGCTGTAGCAGCGCTGCATTGTGCTGCAGATGGATTACAGCGCTAATGAGCACAGAGCTGCAGCCTCAGCCCTGCATGTAGCTGGACGGACATACGGGCTGAAGATGTTGTAATCAGATCTGCTAAGCTGGACGGCTGGCTGCACGCTGACAGACTCTGAGCAGACGCTCATTATACTCTGAGAGAAAGAGAGCGGGGCTCAGTGTCCCAATATCTGAGTGCAATTGTGTGGCCCAGTTTTAAAGATTTCTTAGTAGTTTAAAAAAAAAGTGCAAATTTGTGGTTGGGTTTAGACTGCCAACAAAATAAAGGACTAGCTTTTCTAAAATTAAATAACAAAAATTTATTTTACCTGCTGCCTTTCAGGCCAGAGGTGTGTGATTTTGTTCCCTCATTGGAAATAATGTTACAGTATGAGATTTCATGCTCAGAATATATCATGAATGATTATCAGCCACTACCACAGATTCTAACACTATTTCTGTAAAATGATCTGAGTTATAGCCATGTTTGTGTTTGCTAAGGTTGATTAACTGTGATGGCCATTTTTGATTACCAATTGAGAATCAGCTGTAGATGTACACCAAATTCTCAGTGTCTTTAAAAATGTTACTGTAGTTCCTAAGGCATTTTGCTAACAAACATGGTTGACTTCCATAGTTAATACCAAAGTTTAGAGGAAAGACCCTGAGTGATTTTTTCTTTCAGCTGCTACCACACCAAATGTTAGCTCAACATCTGAAAAACTGACCTACTTATACTCATTGTTGTGTTTGCAGAGGTAGCCATCTTGATTTAGGTCGACTATTATTGTTAATCAGTTATAGATGTACATCCAGTTACCTTTTATTCCTGAAAGTTTCATGAAATTCCATTTAGTATTTCATGAAATATTTTACTAACAGACAAACAGACATGGTCCAGGTATGTGAGAGCTCTTATCCACCCTGCTGCTTCGTGAATTGAAGAACCTCAGTTTAGCCTGTTAGCTTTTGTGTTAGCACTGAGCTAATATTGTTAGCTCAGGAACTAACACCATATAAATATGTATTACTAATAAATATGTGGTGTTAGTTTAAACACAGCTAATGCTATATCGCCGTATGTATTGTATGTATTAGCTCAGTGTTAATGCAAAAGCTAATGGGATAAGCTGAGGTTCTCCTCCATGAAGCAGCTCTGTTCTCCATCAATATTTTCATTGTCATTTCTACATTCTGCTCTCTGTCAAGGCGCTCTGGTTTCATTTGAAAGGGCTGATCGTCAGATATTAACCTTCAGGGTGGACAAAGCTCACGCAGCCTGGTACCAGAAAACCTGGTGAACGTCATCATTTACCCAGTATGCTTTGTGACGTTTAAAAAAATCCATGTGGCAATAGTTATCSATGGAAACTTTATTTTTATAGAGCTTTACAACACTGTCAGAGGTTCAATACATGGTGTCATGCAGATAGCCAGGGGCGCAGTATAGGGGGAAAAATTAGGACAATTCCAAGGGCCCTTGACTGATAGGGGCCCCCACAAAAAATAAAAAGAAAGAAAAACAAATTTTGTTGGGGGCCTCTGTCAATAACAACACTAAAAAAAATCTTTGTTTATTCTTGTTTTTGGTTGTAAAAGTTACATGTTACCACTCCCAGACCAAAAGGAAAACAACCATATTTACCAAACACCCCCTCTGTATCTGCAAAAAAATGGTTTGTTCCTGCTTCCTTGTGCTTGACAGGTATTTAGCAGCATTCAGTAAAATCAGAGAATGACAGAGCTAGTATAACCATGCTGTCTAGAACAAAAATAAAATGATCATAAAAGAGGAATAATGCAATTTGATGCTTTTGTTTAGACTGAATTATGATCGTTAAATGACATTTATATTTACAATTGTATATTGTTCCCATCATTATTTGAGAAATAACGTATTTTCCGAACTGTCTTAAATGCACCTTGAGCATGCGCAGCACATGCTGACACCAGTGTAACCTTCATTCAACTAGAGGAGACCTGATGCTGAAAACTTTGCATTTTTTACTCAAACAAACCTTGAATGTTGACTAATGCTGTTGAGGCAGATAATGTTAGCTAAATGATGCAAATATATCATGTTTAGCACAGGTGTCAAGTAACTAATTTCAAATACTTTGTTACTTTACTTAAGTAGTAATTTTGGTTATTTAAACTTTAGTGGAGTAATAATTTTTCAGACCACTTTTTACTTCTACTTCTTACATTTTCATTCAGTTATCTTTAATTTCTACTCCTTTTTAAAAATGCAAAAATTATTTCATTTCTATTTAACTTGGACTTGTTTTTATTC